TAATTGGAAGGGGGGGGGGCAAAAGTACAATTAGACTATTAGGTAGACACGTGTCAACAACGAGAGAAAATATTTGAATATATTTTTCAGCTTCGTTGAAAAGAGTGAAAAAAATCACTATTGGACAATTCGCAGCATTTCTAGATACCTGCAAGAGAACCAACAAAGACAGGAAAACGAGGAGATGAGGTAGAAAATTTAATGAAAATATCGGAAATCAAGAAACCTCCACACCTGTTGCAAAAATGGTTATATTTGAAATGTTTGAAAACCAAACTCTCTGGGATGAAATAAGAAAACTAAGCAGTGATATGAAAGGAAAAGAAGAATTGTCTTCATTAAAGATTAATAATATTCATTATATAAACAGACCTTAAACATGTCTGTAAACTTTTGAAATCAACAAAATCCCAGTTGGTCAAAAAAAAAAGGAAAAATTATTTAAAACTTTTCTTTCGAAAAACGTAATATGGAAAGACGAAATATTTCTGAAATAAGGCGCACATTAAAAGCCAGAATTCTAAGGTTAGAAAAAGATGAAAGAAAACAATCCTGCAACACTGAAAATACAATCAAAGAATTCCCAGAACTTTTGACTACACAACAAAGTATTGACTATTTAGAATCGTCGTTGAAGGATCAAACAAGTACTAATGCGAAAACACAAACCGAAGATAATATATACACAACAGACTTTCAACTATGTAACTTGCTGTCTGAAGGTGTTGGAATATATGATATAAACAAAGTAATCAAATGTCCAGTACTAAGTGCAATACGTCGCATTAGTGACCAAAGAACGAGTGCTTCTCTCATACACATAGGAACTGAACTTAAGAGACCAAGAAGAAACAACCCTGATGTCGGATGAAACGAGAAAAGTGGGCGAATCCCATTAAATTTTTGGACGGGGGGATAATGACAATAAGAACTGTGTACTTGGGTTATGAAGAAACATGTACTGCAAATCATCAGGGAGTTGCTTCAACATACTGCAAACAATTATCTCTGACTTAAATGACACATCAACTTCTTGCAACAATATTATAAACACCATGTTTGATAGTCGTGTTGCCACAGAGAACAAAACACGCTCTATTAAAAGAATACAGAGTGGATATTTTACCATTGATATAATCAAATTTGGAATCACTTACCAAATCGCACCAAGAAAATTACAGTAGTATAAATAACTTTTATTGTGGACTTCACTTGCTGGTAAATATGGCAGAAACAGCTCAGAAAATGCTGCTAACAGTTGCAAAGGAAGAATTAGAAAACCCATGAATATCTGCTAGTGCAGAAACAAGTAAGTTTATTCCAGCTGGGGAAAGTAGGACTGCACGGATGATACGAATAATTACCAAGTGCCAGTGCCTGGCCCGAGGTGGACATCAGAAAAGTGACCGTTACGAAGATTTTAACTCTTTTATTCTTCGACAAGAGAAAGAAGATGGATATACTGGCCCATTATGTGAACACAGACTCATAGTTTCATTTAGGGAAAACAGATTAAATATTTTGTTTTATGATGCCGAGGCCATTTTTACGTGTCAAAATATGTCATAAGACTTTTTATACGCCCAGTGCAGAAAATAGTTAACAAGAATTTGATGTACTCGGATTATGAGGAAGATACAATAAATGATAAAACACTTTTCAATTTCGAGAGACAAGACGTCATTGAATGTACCAACAATGCCGTACCCATAACTAGCTGGTCAGTGTGGCGGAATAATAAACACGATAGTGAGCGAAAACTCCAGCGTGCTTTGGAAGATATGAGGATATAAGATCTTATTGTTTGGATGTCTTGGAAGTAAGTAAAATAAAATGTTGAATATTACCCACCGAGTTGTGGGAATAGTTTTACATTTACTGATTGCAAGTTCTTGATGGTCAGATGAAGAAACTAAGTTACAATCGTTTGACAACATTGTACAAAAAATGAATGATGAAATGTTAAACGAAAGAATTTGTGTGCTTTTTCGTTGCAGACTAATATAAACTTTTGTGGCGTCATAAGAGGGTGGTATCTGATATCGCCACAACAGGTTGCTAAAATACAAGGGCGATCAAAGGAAATAACATCCCAGGGTGTGTAAACGTATGTAATGCCAACATTGTGGACCCTCTAGGATTCGCAATGTTTATTCGATTTTGATGGAACTTGAACTTTGATGTTTGAAAGCCAAAGATCTCGGTTCCTTTCGATATTCACACATATCGGACCCCAACTTCCTGGATTATGACCCCTGGTTGTCCGAAAAACACAATATTTATCTGATTTTAAAAAAAAAACTGTTTAAATATATCACCGTTATACACTAATGATGGTTGAGTTTGAATCTCGCGAAATCAGACCGAAACTACTCGACAAACTAGCGGCTACTTGTACGCCAATAGTGTAATAGTATGTAATACCAAGTTTGTTGACCATCTAGAAGTCACAGCTTTTATCCGATTCTGATGAAAATTAAAATGTTTATATCAAAACGATCTCGGTTCCACTTGATATTCATGCATATCGGACAACAACTCTCTGGATAATGACCCCTAATTGTAAAAAATATCACATCTGATTTAGTTTGTTCTTGACAAGTGTGGCCGTATCTTGCCTGGCAACCGCTGGCTCCTGACGTAATGATTCTCCGGCAAATCTATTCACGACTGTATGTTTAGATGTAAAGGAGACATTAAATTGCTTCATGTAAGTCACAGGGATTGTGCTCAAAATCCATGACGTCACCACCATGAATGATCATTGAAAGCACCGTTTCTGTTCAAGAAATCGGGGATACCTATATAGCCAAACACTACAGTCGTTTTTTTTTCATATTCTCAGAAAGATGTTTCTGGATTCATGTGTGGTGATGAGATACCATTTCCTGATCAAGTAGATAAAGATGATTTGTATGGAAGGTTAATCATGCCCGATGACAATGATGCAAAAACAGCGATAATTCTTCAACATCTTTTTACTGTTTGGTTAACATTAATCAATAAATCTGTAGCTAATCATTTAGAGTGTGGTAAATATATAAACACATTTCTCATTCTTTGGCCAAAGAAGTGTAGCAGGGTATCCTATAAATATATGTATATAATTATCATTCCAGTTATTTATACATTTCTTTTTGTCTTTCAGAGTTTTATCAGTATACTTATTATTGAAGAACGAAAACACCATGTCGTAGGTTTAGATTTTTATTGCGAATGGTATAAATAAGTATACTGATAAAACTCTGAAAGACAAAAAGAAATGTATTAATAACTGGAATGATAATTATATACATATATTTTAAATGAAGAGGGACCACATTTATTTAAAAACGGATATCAAAAGGTAATGAATGACTCCGAGCCTGTAATGATACGATGCAGTGTTTCACTGAAAACATGACTAGATCCGGGGGCCACAGCGCTTTGCAGTCCCGGGCCTTTAATAATACAGGTTTCACTCAAAAATGAAAAAACAAAACAATGATTTATAAGAAGGGTGCAATAATGCGACCGGTCTTCATGGTGATCGTCTCACGAATGGTGTTTCTTGGGGGCGTAAAGAAGTTGTTGATTTTTAACATTTTTCGATAATCTTGTCCACAGATAGGTCCAGTGTTACGAAATCTTGTTAGTGCTCAATAAGTTGCAGTAACTGTTATTGACTTATCTTTCAGAAATTTAACCTTCCCGAAGGATATTATTCTAAATAAATTGCAGAGTTATTCCCCTTTATTAGGAGGACTGCAATTTTAAAATAATAACACATCAAGTTTTAAAGATAAAAATGAAGCCCGGAAAAGTTGGTGAGAGAGAGAGAGAGGTGGGGTTTAACGTACACCCGACACAAACTAGGTCATTTCGGGACTAACATATGGTTCAATTGTAATCGTTGCCGGGGCATAATTTCACTTAAACCAACTACATGACATATTCCCCTGTTCATTATAGCTTAGTTGGTGCAGAAAAGTAAGACGTCAAACCCCATTTCATTTATTGAGCGATGGATGTGCCACACTATTATTTGTAATATGCATGGTTGCACAAAGAGCCGGTCGCGGGGGTGGAGTAATTATATTTCAACTATACCTCTATTGATCAGTATATATATTATTATTATGAACACAACTCCATTGATGGCTGCACAAAGAGTCTATTCTTCCATAATGCGAGACCCATATTGAAACTTAATCGACTACAGGTATAATAAATCCGATGGTTCATAGATATCACTGACGTTATAAATATGTTCTATATCTTTTATTATTATCAATGTTGAGTATATTGAACTTTTATTTCGACATGTTCCGGCTTCAGTGGAATGACATATTAGGCCAGATATTGTGACGTTACGGAAATTTAGACACTTATATTAGTCTATATGTCCACTTCCCCAGTTTTATCTGATAGTTCTTAATTTATATCAGCTTATACCAAGATCATTTTATTATCCAACATACAATTTTTGTTCTGATCTTATAAAATATGTTTGGTGATCCAGATAATAAGGTCTGCCATCGAGTCAAGTGACGTGATTTCGATCCTACATTTGTACGTGACAAGGAGTAGTGTTGCCTGTCCAATCTCTCCGGTTTCATTTCACTGCTAAAGACCCCTACAGTTGTGTCATGTTTCATGCCTTCTTTTATGTGAATAGAAACTAAAACAATGCCATTTTACGCCGATCGGTACCAAATAATATTAATTTTGACACTTACTTATTTGTCAAGTGGGAACGGGGTGGGTACAACATGAAGGTGAACTTGTTCTATTGTTCCATTAGCCTGATCAGATTTGTTCAGGTGAATTTACTTATCCCCACGCCGCCCCGAATAGATATGATTTTTTTGTTTGTAGCAATGTAGGCTTTTATAGATTGAACACTTGCGATATCATTGTCGGTGGAAACGGGCACTAAGTCAAAAGATTGAACATAAAGCGGAGAAGGGGGTTTCTAAATCTATTTTTTTTTCTTTAAACCTAGTAAAGCTTAAAATATGTCAGTTTTCACTTTTTATTATGCCTTTTGTAAGCAAGTTTTTATTGTAGTTATGGTGACGTGTTAACAAAAAGCGTTAGAAAAAAGATATACCCCCTTAATCCCGGTGTCGATAAATGTTGGGTTGTGTGGAAAATGCTAGAGGCGATTTGTGGCAAATCTCAGACACAATATAACGTTTGATAATGGTTAAGAACAGCATCAGAATAACATGATTGTTTTCATTGGAAGTGAGTCGGAAATACCCAAAGGAGTCGGACAAACTCTAAACCAACTGCTTCCCCTTCACTGGGTCCCTTCAATGGGCTCCTGTCTGTCTACCTGTAATAACCTGTATTTGTATCTGTTAAATTTGTTTGGTTTAAATATTAGAAGATTAATATCATTATTTACACATAGGCGGGGAGTGATAGCATCTTACCCCAAACAAATTGCAAAAGAAACCAGGAAGTTTAGGAGAGCGTTATCTCGTAATCAGTGTGTTTTAGTGGTGGGGGAATAAATAATTTCTTTTAAAATTCTTCAAACACAAACTGGTTATACAGGCGAACTGTGCCGAAAAACGAATTAACACTTGGCATTTCTTTCATAATAGCTGTCAAATTTGGCATTAAAATGGCCCTTTTCCGCTAAGACCTGTACAAATCTCGTAAGATATGACTTTTACTATGTCTTTTAAAAAGGCTTTCGATGTCTCTGAATTAATGCTAATTAATATTGAATAATGCTAATTACGTCATTTCGCCTTGGCCATTTGAGTATGATGTCGTCTAACATAAGTATAATTGAACCCAACTGCATTGTTTTCATTTGCAATTTGTTTGGGGTTACTCCACTTTTGAGATTAGCTTGACACATCTATCAGTTTATCAGAGATGTTTAATTATTAGTCTGTTTTTCATCCAGGAATGTTTAATTATCAGTCTGTTTTTCAGGAAAGTTTGACGTATAATTATTATCAGTCCGTTTATCACACATGTTTGATCATCACCCTGTTTATCAGATTAGAAATGGATTTTTATGATAAACAATAAATAGTTGTCCATCCCAAATAATTTTGTATCAGTAATGGTTGTTTATAAAATTTAATTGTTTATAATAGTAATCATTAAATGGTAAAGGTGAAACTGTTTTATTGTACAACCACTCTGATAAACACTGTAAACCAAGCTGTTGAAAATCCATTACAAATTTATTAGCAAATAATTCATTCCTGCTAACTAAGCTGTTGAGATCCCCTACTCCAAAAACACAAACACCCCTCATCCATTTTCCAGCACACTTATCAGCACCCGCCCATGATGCATACGCTGCTAACCATTTCTTTTTATCGGCCTGTCCTGTAAAAGATCAACAATGTATAATTGGGCGGTGTTATGCAAATATGTCCTAACCCTCAAATTTCCAAAAATAGTTTTAGTACATGTTTCGATTAAAGAATTCATGACGATTGATATGCAATATTGTTTTTTAACTCTCCTAAGATGAGGCTCAGTATCTGCCCTACAGACCAAGAATCCACTAATCAGTGAAATCATTGTAACAGCGTAGCAATGATGGGGTTGTGTCTGCGTGGAATTCTAGATCGTGGTTGAGAGCGATGGAGACGTTGCTGTCGGGCGCAATGGGTGTGTGCCAAGAGCGTAGCGGGGGCATTGTGTACGCGTAGTGAGAACGTGAAAATGCCTTCACACCAAGAAGCTTTAATGAGGTGAAGGCGGCATGGCGTCATTTTAGTGAAGTCATCGACGCCATATTGGTTAACCCAAAACAGCGTCTCTCTAATTATTTTGACAATTTGCCTGGCCTCAGACCGCCAGACTTAAAAAACCTAATTTGACATATTTTTTTTTCAAAATAACTAAAATTTATCTTCGTATCCACTGCAGGAAAAAATAATCTACGTACATTGAGAGGGTTTATTCGGAACAGAGGGCACATAGTCACACGAATTCCTATACCCTAGCTGGGAATCTCACCGGATTCGATTGTTATCAACAATTTCCAGATTCTTTTGTTTTTGCAAACACCACCTACCCTGCCTACTCACCCAGTACGCTTTTAATAAAGTCGCAGATATAACTTCTGTTACAAAATATTCTAATAATACGGTATTTTAATATATCAATCATTCATTTCATCATTCATTGTGTAATCAATTCTAATTTTCATAAATCTATACAATCTGCTGTATATCAGCTACTCTGAGATGATATTTTTAATACTAAAGGCTTAACTTTATAGATTTATTATAACTTAATAATTTATTTCATATATAATATGTGTTGCTTTTCAATGTGTAAAACAAATTTCCCCTGGGAACATTAGGCATTACCTTATTCTCGTTTTAAAACAAAAGAAGATTTATATTAACTCCACACAACCAATTATTCTTAAAATGTTTTGGGTTAACCAAAATGGCGTCACGGGCTTCAATCGTAATAATACGGCTTTGGTCATAATAGTAAAATGACGTCATACCGTCTCCAGTTCATCAAAACTTCTTGCTACACGCTTAAGAGGGTTTTAGTACATTTTAGTGCTATATTGTATTTCATGATGTTAAGGTAATAAAAGTTTTCTGGAAGTTTTTTCTTTATTTGAATGACTTCTATTTTCTATTTTCGGTGTTTTCTCAAAACTTCAAATTTAGGATTAAATTCCATTTGCATAACACAGTCCAATTTAAGTACAATAATTGATACAGCTATGAAATGCAATGGGGTTTAACATCCTACTATTGTGCACCTAGCTAATGAAGACGAAGAGAGAGGGGGGGGGGCTTAACGTCAACTCGACGCAAACTAGGTCATTTCGGGACTAGCATATGGTTCAATTTTATTTCCATAATTCGCTTGCGCGGAGGGTTCTTAAGCAGTGGGAGGAAACCGGCGGAAGACCTGGAGCTACTCCGTCTTTAGCGCTTGCGCATTGTATCATAAGGTCTGTCATTGAGTCAACTGGCGTGGTTCCAATTCCCCGGTTGTACGTGACAAGGAGTATGATTGCCTGTCCAATCTCGTTAGTCTTCTCTGGGTCCTCGGGTTTCACCTCACTGCTAAAGACTCCTACGCGCAAGCGAATAATTGATATAAAATTTAACCATATGTTAGTCTCGAAATGACCTTGTTTGTGTCGAGTGGAGATTAAACCACCCCATTTATCTTTACATACTCTAAATTCAGACAATCGACCTTTTCATTTAGAGGTGACACAAATATACGCTCGTAAACTGACTAAATGCGAATAAAGTGTATTTTTTTACTTTGCAATCACCTGTCAGCCAGTTTTTTGCGCTGTATACCTAAACAACAGGCACTATTGTCATTTGATTTCATAAATAATACCTGCTAGTTATATGGGGTAAAATTTAATCAACTGGGTTACTATAATATAATTCAGGGTGAGGGTTTTATATTTCAGTACAGTCAATTAAGCCGCGCATCCATGACGAATATCACACCATAACCAGTCATATGATCTTCTCCCACAACCAAATTTATAAACTCGTAGTTATAACGTCCTATTTATGCAACTTTTTGTAATTTTAATTGCCTTATTGGTGATCGTGGGGTTGAATGGCCGAATGGTTAGCATGTGCGCCCTGTATCATAAGTACTGTCAGTGAGTCAGCTGCCGTGGTTTCGATTCCCCGGTTTCTACGTGACAAGGAGTAGGGTCGTTTGTCCAACCTGTTTTCTCCGGGTCCTCCGGTTTACTCCCAATGCTAAAGACCTCTACGCGCATGCGAATTATTGAAATAAAATTGAACCATATGTTAGTCCCAAAATGAACTGTTTTTTTTTTGTCGAGTGGACGTTAAACACCCTCTCTCTCTCTCTCTCTCTCTCTCTCTCTCTCTTCCTCTCTTTTGGTAATCCTGTGATCCTGTAAATATATCGATGATTGTCAATAAACTGGACCGTTTCATAATTGTGAAGATTATCTGACACGACATCGACCCAACCACGACCCCAGGCATTATTTCTGTTGCATATGATTCCAAAAAACCCAGAGGAACTTTCTCGACCAACACCGAAAGCCAACCCGAGACCGGTGGGTTTCACGATGAAAATATCGAATAATAATTACCTTTGTAACTGCCAGGAACTTTCAAATGTGGATTATGATTCAATGTTGACCAATAATATTCATCAGGGGAGAGAACCCCACGACACCACTGTAAGAAATCTTTAGCTATTTGATTGTTGACGACATAGTTTACAAATTGTCGTGTAAATATACCATAGGCACTTCCTTTTACTACACGAATGTCATGCGGTGGGTTTGGGTTCTTTTCGTTAGTTTTTTCAATAGCGTAGGTCCCGGATGTTGTGTTTTTATATTTATGTTTATATTTAAATCTATTGGTCATCATTCTGCTACCAAGGATACCCTCTATGTCATTACTGTTGTTATAAATAGTCAATATTTTAACGATTTCTAAATTTGTTTTAAGTGGGAACTCTTGACTAGGAAGGTTTATTAAATATTTCCATTTTTCACTAAAATCTAAATGATCACTCATGCAGTTAATGTCTGCTTGGAGTCTTTGAAAACTTTTATACACAACTTGCTCTGTTTTAGAAACTATGAAGACATTATCAAAACAATTAGCTAGTGATTTAGCTGCCTTGTGAACATGATCTGGTGAAAACCCATCTACATGTAAACAGTAGTAATTTTGAGGTCTATAAATAGCACGAAGAAGCATTTCAACTTGAGCCACGTCTTTATATAAAAGTATATTAAAAGCGATAGGAAAATTCTTTTCTTCTTCGGTATTCACAAAGGAGTCATAGGCATATTTATTGCGGAAATTGACACAGTCCTGGGTGGCGTTTGTTATAAATTGATCACTCGGCACCCTATAGCCAGTTTCTTTCATTTTAGTTTTAGCTCGAATAATTTCATTCGGATCACCTTCGATTATCTTAGAACAACTGACTTCATGAACTTGACGTCGTCCACAACTATGTCCGGTGTGCCTCATACCTTGAGAATTAGTTATACCCGAATTCATCTGATGCTGGCTGTCTGTCAGACGTTCTTTGGATAAAGTATATTCCACGGGTGCCGATCGTTTTCTAAGCGTGTCGATTTCCATGGTTATTGATGATAATCTTATATAGGTATACAATACCATCACAGACAACAAAGAGATTATAACCGACGATGTATGCATGCCTCGATATTTTCTAAAAATAAATCCACCCATCACATCTACTTCAAAATGTGTATAATGATTCAGTCAAGCCCAATAGTATATTTGATAGGCGATAACTACTGAACACCATAACCTAATTCACACGAATTTCGCTCCGAGATTGGTAACTAAATTCTCCTTTAGATTCTTCGGGTGAATAATCGAATTATCTTCATATTCTGAAACATATCAAGCATATAAATACAGTATATGAATACACATATTGAATTACAATTTTAAGAGAGCCAAGCTGACTAAGTGGTAAGGCGCTGGCTCGCTAGTCTGGAGGTCGCGTGTTGATCCCGGCATTGGCCGAGAAAGTTCATCGGGATTTTCCGGCGTGGTTTCCCCGTGTAAAGGTTGCAGGACGGAGGGCCTGACAAGGACGGGCCTGACAAGGACAGCTGTCTAGTCGTTTGGATGGGACAAAAAGAATACGAGGTCCCGCGTATACATTGGCGTGACCGTAAAAGATCCCTTGGCAGTTGAAATTCGATATAAGAGAAGGTCACAGTGCCGCTGCCCGGGCAAAATTTCTCTCATAGCACACTGTATGGCGTATGCAGTGCTAGGACTATCTAGGAAAAAGTGCTAAATTTTGGATGTTTGGGTTTGGTCCGGTTCACTGATTTTAATTGCTTGGTATGCTGATCTAAACAACATGTCCGTCTTGAGTAGTATTGCCCTAATATAAATTACATAAGCGTTGACAACTATTAACCTGCCAGTGGGAGTATCAAATAACTTAACATTTTAATTTCTAAAATAAAAATCTCATTTCATATAAAGTCTTTGATATCAGTTGTTTAGTCTTCCAAAAACCAAGTTTTATCATGCTGAGCTATTTTTGTACGCCCATATTTTCAAGTGGACGTGTATTGAGTCGCCCCTGTCAGCCCACAATTTATTTGTGGACACGCGGTTCCTTTTGATATTGGCATTTTATCCAATATTAAAAGCTGTTCTAACATATCACCATTCCACTCTTATGATGGTTGAGTTCGAATTTCATGAAAATCGGATTGAAACTGCCCGCTCCTCGTTCGCAAATAGTATAAAAGTATATAATACCAAGGTTGTGGACACTGTAGAAGTCACAATTTTTTTATCCGATTTTGATCAAACTTAAAATATATGTCTATATTCCACGGATTTTTGTTTCTTTCCATATTCGCACATATCGGTCCGTAACCTCCTAGATTATGGACCCCGGGTGTACCAAAAATTACAGTTTATACCCAATTTTAAAAACCGTTTAAATATACACCGTTACACCCTGGGTTTGAATTTTGTGATAATCGGATCGAAGGCTGTGGTCCCTCTAACGAGTTGTATCCGGTTTTGAAAAAAACTTAATATTATATGTTTATGTATCAAAGATCTCGGTTTGATGTTCGCGTATATCGGGCCTAACTTCTTGCCTTGTGGCCCCTATTGTACGAGAAATTGTAAGAATAATACTACGAGTTCTTGATGTGGAAATTTACACCGAAATATTTATTTATGGCTAGGGATATGATATCATATCTTTCTTATCTAAATTATATCCTGGTTATATATATTATATCCTGGTTATATATATATATATATATATATATATAAGCAGGATCTAATTTCGATAAGAAAGATATATCATATCCCTAGCCATAAATAAATATTTCCGTGTAAATTTCCACATCAAGAACTCTGTGGTGACAGAAATGAAATGAAATGAAATGGAGTTTTAACGTCCTACTGTTCTGCTCCTAACCTGGGCTAATGAAGACGGGCATACGCCATACAGTGTGCTATAAGGGAAATTTTGCCCGGACAGCGGCACTACGGCCTACTCTTATATCGAAATTCAACTGCCAAGGGATCGTTTACGTGCACGCCAATGTGTACACGGGACCTCGGTTTTTCGTCCCATCCGAACGACTAGACAGCTTTCCTTGGCAGCCCCTCCGTCCTGCATCACTGACAAGGGAGAACCACGCCGGAAAATCTGGATGAACTTTCTCGGCCAATGCAGGGATCGAACACCCGACCTCCAGGCTAGCGAGCTAGCGTCTTACCGACTTAGCCACGTGATCCCCCTTTGGTGACAGAGAATATAAGTAATATTGTTATAATACATTATTAAAGGTGTACTGTTTTGTTGACATTGACAATAAATTCGCGTTAACAAAATAGTTTATAAAGTCTAGTATTGATGGCGATATTAGCGACCTTTGATTTTGACTTGCTGTCGTACTGTTGTCTTTTCGCGTCAGAAGTTGATGTAGTCTCTACTTTCAAGGTCACTTTTCGACTTTCGTGTTTTGAAGGGGCGAAAAGTAGAAATTATAAATGGTAGTTATAGGCTTCCATAAGATTGTAAGACAAAATAAACATTTTACCATCGGTTCACGAATGCCTTTAAGTGCCATTTATAACAAGAGACTAGAAGGACGGGGCTAGATATATTCCACAAGTAACTCAAACGGTTACGTCATATTCCTATCTGGAGAGCATGCGCAATAAATACTAAATCAGTTTATGTACATTCATATTACATTATTATTTGTGTTGCGAACCATTTGTGTCAATTTCTAGGTCCTAATTTTAGCGAGTTAGCTCTTTTAAATAACAAATACATGTAGATTGTTTTGGGGTGACCTTTTCCCTGTATGTAAATAATCAGTAAATGTTCATATTTTTGCACCAAAATAGATCATTTTGGATCAAATTTTCTTTTACTGATAATTGATAAGTTCGTAAATAGTATTGTACGATGGATCAATAGGCCATTAATATTTCGATATTGGCCCCTTTCTATAGAAATCAATATATAATTGGCAAGAGTTAAACAATCGTAATGTGCTCAACAACCCTTGTTTTACTTATGAATATTTATCTCCCCAAGAAAACGTTCCAAAATCATTTAATTGGTTAACATCAAATTGGTCAATATCAAAGTATATGAGTAAAATAATGTAAGATATTTTATACCCTGGCTTAGACAAGCTGCTGTAGATATTACATCAAATTAATAAGCTTATTATTACATTATGTAATATTTGAATCAATTTTTTTTAATTTTATTAAATTGTTATTAAATTTGTTTATTTCTGTGTTTAATTTGATTAGTTTTTCTTATTCTCTTATTCAAATTTCATAGAATCTGATTCCAAACCCATCTAGCTTTAGTGTTACATTCTAAATATAGAGCAGTGTAATATGACACTTATACAATACACCATCTGAATAGATAATAATTGGGCTACAATTTATTGTCTTTGAGAGGTTGATGACAGGATTCTCTTCAACAAATCTTTGAGGTCACATTCCCAAACTTGAAGAAATCTGGCTGATTTCTAGTTGGTCTTAGGACTGTATGCCCGTTTTCATTGGGTCAGTCGGAACTGAACAGTAGGATGTTAAACCCCATTTCATCTAATTTTATAATTTTAAAGATGTGGTATATTTGGTCATATTCAGCAATTGCGCGAGGTGTGACACTACCCTGAATTGATGATTCTGCACCCAGATAACTATCTTCTTTGACACATTATTTCACCCACACCAAGACTTAATAATCATTACCAATTACATATGAAAATGAAAGCCGAATAAATACTTTTCAAAATTCTCAATGTACATGTATATGTTACAGTCAATTTGTGTAATCAGTCATTTCATGTAATGACTAAACGAATCAGTCATTACGTGAAATGCCTGTGAGCATCAGGCAATACGTGCAATGACTAAAAATTCCAGTCAATACACGAAATGACTAAAAATCATGGTCGGGGATTACGCGAAATGACTGAAGTGCTGTTAAACCTATAAAAATACACTGTAAACCATTTTTGACGTCAAATCAAACGTTAAATCATACATTGCAGAAAAATATGCATATAGTTGTCAAATCTCATTTTATTTCAAACATTCTGACTGGTTCATCTCTAAAGTCGCATGTTTTTGCATAACATACTGCTATGACAGCGGTTGAAGAATTTTGATTTTGATATTGTTTTTGAAACATTTGCATCTATTCGTCCCTTGAAACCTGCATCATTGATAACCAGTGTAAGTTTCTATTCTAGAGGGTTTGGCGTTGGGGGAGCTATTCCAATTTCTATAGGATGAAATTCTATAGTGTTCTACTTAATATTGGGGGTCTGTAGGAAATAATGACCAGAAATATTCTGTAGTGCAAATCTCTTAATTTTTCCTACAGATTTAAGCTATAGTCATTTCGTGTAATGTCTGGATTTTTCAGTCATTACACGTATTGCCTGGTGCTCACAGGCTCTTCGCGAAATGACTGATTTGTTTAGTCATTACGTGAAATGACCGATTACACAGGTTGACTGTAACATATACACTTATATACCGTTTGTTCAGATGCTTATTTTCAAACCAGTTCAAAATCGCCGGTTTGTGTTGCTTTCACAAGTATTATAAGCCAACCCAGTTTAAGAATTCTGACCTTTTCGGTCGCAGGTTAGAGTTAACTACGCATGGGTAGCTTCATATTCTTCATTCGATAAAACTGGCACTGCATGTCGCCGCTATTTCCCAGGAATGTAACTTACTGCGTACTGCGCATGTCCAAAGCGGACTGGAGCCTGTTTTTTTTAAAGTCAATTCGTTCAGACGGCCAAGATGAACCAGGTTTTTTTTTTAAAAAAGCCTTCTCGAAGACAGATCGCGAGCTGGGGCTTTTAAACTAGTTTATTTGCCACACACTGCGTCAAGACGACACATTTATATTGGTTTAACGATTCACAGTTTTTTAAAAACCAGTTCAACTTAAGCGTCTGGACGGGCTATTAGTGTTTTCAACTAAAATCGTGGAAATTGGAATTAAAATGTCGGTCAACTAGCTTGGTGTCTGTTCTCAAGCGGAACTAATTGTAGACAGATATCTTAAGTTACGTATGTAAATTGGTTATTATGCAGCTTTCATTTGAGTCCAAACTACATTTATGGATGTTATTGGATTTTATGTTTTGATTTATTTTCTTGGAGGACAACAATCCGTCTTACTGAAAATATTACGTCGACAGAGAAAGGGATAGAGGGCACTCGGCAAATCTCGACAGATTCCGGTACCCTACATCTAATCTCGGCTGTATGACAGTAAGTGATATGTGCCTACGCCCATACATTTGCGATGCGGCTACCGGTTTACTTTAAACAGGAAAACGTGTCG